CTGTCTCTTATACACATCTAGATGTGTATAAGAGACAGGCCCAAAACTGAACTACACGTCCGTCTCACCGTTCGACTACAGCAACATCACCCCCTACCTGTCCCACTCTGTACCAAAACGAATGATTGCCGACTACAGCATGCATACTTGCTGTCTGTCCGAAGTGCTGTCTGTACAAAAACACCATGGTAGGCATGGAACAATCTCTCTAAGCAACAAGGTCTTGAGTCAACCTTCTTTCTCTTTCGGCCTCTGACGAGCTACCGCACCCAAACACAGACCTTTTATTTCACCGTTCCTTTTTCGTCGCTCCGGCGACGCTTACTTTGTTCGTTTCTTTCGTGTCCTCTTTTCGCCTTTCTTTTGGGTTCTGACCTGTCATGGTATTTGTAGCCTTCGCCTGTTGCGGCTCTCCCGTTGGTGTCCTCTCTGTTAGCCCCAGTATATTACTTCCTGTGCCTTCTTTTTCTAGGTCAAACGATGGTCTTGCGACCCATCGAGTGAGAGGTGTGGGAGGGTAAATTGTGGTATTTTGGAGCTCCGCATCCTCGATACTCTCATTTGGGATTTGACAAGTAATTGTCAAATTCCGAGATTTAGTATCTGCTTATGAGAACCTCCAGGGTGGGCTAGTGTGGGATTTGAATGCGTAGGAAAGTACAAACGGTAGTGCGGGCTAATGCCAAGAGAAAAGTGCGGGAGATGCAACTCCCCACGGAAGGACAAAAGAGGGGACAGGATCTAGTAGCCCCTGCTTTAGCAGCTGATCCTGGCCCCATCCTAGTCAGTCCTCTACCTTCCCTTGGCAACAGCTACTGCTGTTCCACACGAGTTAATACCACGTGAGTTCGTCGTCACGGGTCTCCCAGATTGCACCGCGCGTGCATATCCTTTACAACTGGCACGGAGACTCGTGGTCGCACCACAGCATCAAAGTTAAAAGTAGAGGGACAGAAGGCCCTAGGTTTATTTTGCCCATCCGGGTCGTCATCGGCGTGTTCTGGCGTTGCACACGCCCCACTTTCATCCGAGGCGAAAAACATGCGCATGCATTTTGTGTTTGAAAAACAAAAGCAAACGCTGCTGCTGCTGCCTCTGGGAGAGGGTCCCTCGCTGGCGGGTGAGATTGTGATCCGCACTTTTGGCGAGTAATCTGCGTACACGAGACCATTTTCCAAACGGATTTCTTCCCAAAAGAGCCTGAGACATGTACTGACGGCACACGCGACGGCAGGAAGTACCCCCACTCCAGCGAGACAGAACCGCCTGCGACGTGCGGGGTAGTCGGATTTCGGCTCGCACCTCCCCCGGGGTCTTGCCCTCACGAGGTCATGACACAAGGACTCAGGATGTGTCTTATCGACAGAATCAAGATCAGAAATCGAAATCAAAAATCAGTTTAAGTCCTGAAGAGTCGCCCAAATTCGCCCGCGGTGTCTTATCGAGAAACCACCAAAATCAAAATCGAAATTGAGAAACACGGTGAAGCGCCCACTTCAAGCGGCGAACAGCCCGCCAGTTCCGTGACACGACGTCCGCAGCGTCGCGCCGCATCCCAAAAGAATGGCTCGCGCTCCTACGCTTGTTGCGGCGGCGGCGGCGGCAGGTACTGGGACGATGGCGGTGGCGGTGGCGATGCAGGCCAGACACCACGGGCCATCGGCGCCGCGTGAAACCCAACTATATTGTTGGGCAGTTGCGCTGGGGTGTTCGGCCCCAAGTTGTACCGCCCGTCACCGTTTGCCCCAGGCTGTGACATCGTCTCCTCTGCTTACTGCCGCTCGCGCGTGAGTGGTGGGTGTCCTCCACATGCCAAGATGCCAAGGCGTGGTCCTCGATGTGTCAAATCGGCACAAAAACCCGGCCCCTACACACCCAATAGCCCGCCACGTGCGCTGTTCGCAAAAGTCGACATCGATTTTAATGTTTTTGCATTTATTTGAGTTCGAGTTTAAGCATAGGAAGATTCCGTGCGGTCTCCATCCAAATGCTTCCGACGGACAGGTTAAAAGTTATTCCATCCAATCACAGCAGATATTCGTTGGCTCTTCCAGGACTTAAACTGATTTTTGATTTCGATTTCTGATCTTGATTCTGTCGATAAGACACATCCTCACCGTGAATAAATCCCGCGCTGTCCTGGCAAATAACTTCCCTTTCTCCCGCCTCTCCTGGTATCTACCATACAATGAATATCAGCCATCACAACCGTTTGCATGCCGCATCTACCCCTCGCCCAGTGGCATCTCTACTGCTTGTTGTACTCTTGGATATACTTACGGTGGAGCACAATAATCAAGACCAAATTGGGCACTTCGTGTTCTCTCAAAAACAAAATAACTTCAGTCAAAATGTCCCTTGCCGCAAAAGTTTATTGAAAAATACACACTCTTTTGCAACTTTTGCATGCAATAAGTAAGCAATACACACACTAGGCGGGTTCAACAGAAAGCCTGTTACATCAGCTGTCGAATGACGCTGGTTTCATGCCCATTGAATAGTCAAAGCATGAAGTGAGCGGCTCTAAAAGCAGGAACTTCATGGCAGCAATTTTCGGCGGGCATACTTGTTGGGGTTCGGGAACAAATTAGGTTCTAAAATAGAACCTGTCGCAAACTGCTCAACGTAGCGCGAACAGCAGTGCCAAAACAAAACTTGGATTTGAGCCAGCCGTTGTAGAGCAACTCGCCGTCCACGCCAGGCACCTGGCCAATCCGGCACCCACCATGACCAAGCGTGGTAGGCGGGTACCGACAGGCGGCACCAGTGGCCGTCCGCCTAAAGCGATCAAGGGGGCCAACGCTGCGGCCGCGAGAAATGCAAAGGCTATGAACAAGCTCCTGGATGATATATATGGAGGAGGGAGAGGCGGCCACCGCCGCTGCTGAAGCAGCTCTCGCGGCCAAGGAAGAAGAGGTGAAGGTCATGAAGGCGTCAGTGGCCAGGGATCGGGAGAAGCTCGCGCGGGACATCGCGAGGTCGGACGTGCTTCAACAGCAGCGTGAGCGGCGAGAGCAGGATCGTGTCAGCAAGGCTGCTGAAGCGGCGACTTCCAAGCTTCCCCCTCTCGCGCTGAAGTTTGTCGAGGACTCTGTGCAATGGCTGAGGCCCAAGACTGGCGAGCTCACCACCCTGCAGCAGTCGCGGATGATTCTCATGCTGTACTTCGACCTGGCAAAAGGAGGCAGCTCTGAAAACCACGCCAAGGAGCAGGTGAGAACCAAGAAACATGGCTGTTGCATACAAACTACCAGTATATAGCCGCATGTCGTTCTATGCTGATGCCCATTGCTGCTGTACAATACTTGAGTGGCATGTATAACGGTATGCTGCCAGATGTACAGCAGTGTATCAGTACAGCAGTTACAGCAGCGCTTTGTACCGCTGAATGTAAAGGAATGTATGCATGTGCATGGCACCACCATTTTCCTCGCGTGCGCTGTACGGTTATCCATACTCTGCCGTCCCTTTAATACCGGCTGTTGTACACCAACGCAATACACTGCAACGCAATACACGCTGTATTCTTACAAACTTATTCCCACCCTCCCTCTACAAACTTTCTCCCACCCTCCCTCTGTGTGGATGACCCATCTTTATCAGGTCGCGAAGACCTTGAGGATCGGTACGGACGAGGTCCTGACGGTTCGCACACTCTGGTATGACAAGCAGGAGTTGTACGAGACCAACGGGAAGGGGCGAGGCAAGGCCACCAGCGTCGACGACGGGCGACGTGTCATCACCAAGGAGCAAGAGGATGGCCTGAACGAGTTCATCAAGGGCGAGCACGAGGCGGGACGTCAGGTCTTCCGCCGTACCGTCAAGGATTGCTTGGAGTGTTTGTACGGATTAGAGATGTCGAATCGTGCCGTGGGAGGGTTCCTGCAGCGCCTTGGCTTCAAGCGCCGTAGGGGTAGGATCAAAATACCTCCGTTGAACGAGGAGAGGAACAACCGCATCCGCCTCTTTCTTGTTAGATGGACCTCGCGAAGAGGGCCGAGGACGCTGAAGTCGCAGTCATTGTGTACATGGATGAGAGCTTTGTTCACCAGGCGCATGGTTCCGCGTACACGTACTTTCCTTCTGACGATAAGGGGGTTGTGCAGGATGGGATAGGCCGTACAACGGGGAAACGTTTGCGTATGATCAAAGTGCATGCGATCACGAAGCACGGGCCCTTGGCCGAGCTGCAGGAGGGATTTTCTATCCGTGAGGGTTGGTTCAAGGCTATGGAAAATCGTGCGACGAAGATTAAGCCTGGGGAGGCGGATTTCGACACGTCAGATAAGCAGACAGCAGAATTTCTGTTGCAGGCCAGGTTGANGTTCTCGATAACGCCTCATACCACCACTGCTTTGACGAGGAGCTCAAGGTGCCCGAAACCAACAGTAAGAAGTACAACGTCGAACTCTTGCGGAAGTACGGTTGCACGTTGTTCAAGGTGACGCGTGAGTCGGAGGGTAAGGCTGCTGGTACAACTTTGAGGTGCCGGCGCAGGGGTCGTTACCCAATGCGAACCGCGAGAATGGCGTCAGCAAAGAAGAGATAGCCTCTGTCACTCGGATGTACTTCAAAAAGAATTTCCCACAAAAGCTCGAGGAAAAGGCTGAGACGTACATGAGGGAGAAGGGGTGGGGGTTAATTTGGACACCGCCGTACATGCCGACTTTCCA